CTTCATTTTAAGCTTTTGGAAAGCCTTGATTTCAGACTAACGTAGAAAAAGTGCGCCATGCAATTTGGCGTCTGTAGCTGTCTCGTTGAATTTCAGAACTAATTTCTGATGCTAAATTCCATATTCATCCATTCCAAGCATCTTGAACATTAAACGACGCACAGCTGGGGTATCGATGTCGATGCAGCTTTTTCTCCTCTTTCTGACAGGTAATTTTCCTTCCAATTTCGTAGAATCATTGTCGCAAAATCAACATAATTTCTAGTTTTAAACGCACATCAGGATGTACTCACAAATTGCATATTCTGATATTTTGGACGTTAAACGCTTAGTCTTTTTGTAAGATAAGATGTGAGATTGATAACGGATTTTTTGAAGTTCCAAATCCCGGCTTCCGAAAAAATCAGTATGAAATGTAAAAGACGGCTGTGAAAGCCAAACTGCCTCGCATTGCACTTTTTTCACGCTAGTCAGTGCTACAAAGTGCTTTTCAACGCATCATATTTCACGGAACGCTGGGTGTACGCACATTAGGATCATGTTACGTAATAAAATATATGTTGTCACAAAATGTATAAAGAGTTTTGCAGTAATATGCAACCAACTATTTTTCTTCTCAAACTGCTGTACCACTGACTGTGAGTACGGTCAAGTGTGAGCATGTAGTAGTCGAGCCTTAGTCTGGCCTACTTCTTTTTATAACACTGCAGTACCTCTGCGAAAACTTAAATAACATTTCCTCTATCTCATTTGGAGTTATGCCAATCTCGTGCGACCACTTTGCTTGGGCTCCGCAGCTCTTTTACAGCATGCTCTCTCTAAAATCTTTACGCTTTCAGCAATTAAAGCCCGCCTTTTCTCACGTACAGAGTGGGAAAATGGTCAAGAAACCTCGGCAGAGCTCAACCAAGGCGGTCGCAAGATCTGAACGAGGCGAAATGAAACAGAGGGTACGTAATTTGCAATTTCACGCAGGCTCAATCTCGAATATGGTCGCAGCTCCGTTGGGCTCAGCCATCGATTAATGGCCCAGAGAGTGAGATTGAGCTTAAAGGCAGTGTCCGGGCAAAATGGGAGTTCTGAGATTTCTCTGCCATGTGAAAGTAGCCCCCCTGAGACACAACATCGCGCAACTGCGAGCATAAAACGTTCGACCTAAAGCAAGAAAAACGATTGCAAATTGGGGAAACTTACGCTTTGGGGCGGGGTCCTCCGAGTTGTTTGAATTCCTGCCAGACGGCAGAGTACGTATGCCGCCACAGTTAAAAACCGTGCGCTCTTTGCAACCTCTGCGTCTTAGCCTGGCGGGGATCCCCAAATTTCGAAATGTGAGGACTTGGAAAATGCATGTTCTCGCCGTTTTCGTGCTTTCTGATATGGATTTTCGGATTCAGCGTTGCGGATTTAAAAGTCGAGTTTCTGCCCGGACACTGCCTTCAAAGGCAGTGTCTCACCAAAGTTGATGTCGCGCGGATCTTCACATATTTCGTTATAGGGACGTCTAAACAGGCCATTGCAACAGTTCCACTTATTTTGACCCCCTCCACGCTGAAAAAAATTCGCTCAAAGTGGTACGCGGAGAGCGAGTTGATACGCGCGGACGACTCCTTCGATCTCCCCCCTTACGTGTTTGAACATCTCCTCCACATGGCATCCACCTCTCCTCTGTTGTTACCACTGTGGCTAAGGCTGAAGTTGGAAGGTACAACTCGTCCACGTTGCTTCCACAGGGCCTCCAGAAAACGAGGTTTTTGGGAACTTCGTGCGATTTTAAGGCCATACAGTGCTACACAGGGTCCGACAGGCATGCAAATTGCAAAAATCTCGACAACTAAATTTTGGTGAGACACTGCCTTTAAGATAGGTTGCGACTTCGTGCGTCACTTTCCAGGAGAATCACTTCGGTTATGGTATATTTGCTTAGTTTTTAATTTATAAGAAATCTTACACCGTTAACTCTTACATGTTCTTTCACTCACTTGTCAGTTTATAAGGACAAACCTGTGATCAGCTGACTGAAATTCAAGGGGATTGAATATTATTGGTGGTACCGCTTTGAGTCCGTAATAACAACTACTAAACAATGCTCCAGACTTTCAAATGTTTAGGTTCCTTTAGCTGTACCTTGGGTCTCATTCAAACTCTCAATCTGATCACACAGCTCCTTTGCCACAAGTTTTGTTTGAAATGACTGTAGTCGAGAATTTATGCTTTCTTTACTAATAAGGACTTGTGACATATATACGTAAAGGTTCAGCTAGAGAGACAAAAAAGAAGTTTTGTTATACTTATCCAGGCTTATCCAGGCTATACGTCTATACGGAACTATCCGAGATTTTGCAAAGTATGTAGTTTTCAGTCTTAGTTTTTCGCTATTCCTCAGGTATTTTTTATTGAATCCATTCGTTGGTACAAAACATCATCAAACATTCTATTGAACTCTAACTCTAGAATTAGCTTGGAAGAATTAGTTGGTCACAGTTGAATGCCACATACCACTACTCAAGCTCAAAAAGTATGCTGCGGTAGAATCGAGTAACTTTAATTCCACTCTCCTTCTTGCAATATGATGCTAGCTCTACATAATTGCTAGAAATTTGCATAAAATAAAGCTTTCACTACTGCTTGTCAATAATCTTTATCTCCTAAAAGTAATCACTGCGATTAAAGCTGTAGCAATCGAACGTTTCACCATAGTGCCTTCTGGTGCCCATAAACAATTTGTATACACTAGAGCAGTTCATTTTCTAGATATCATTTGGGCTCCTAGTTGTAGTGGAAATCAAAGAGCATTGTCCCCAGCTATCGCGGAAGCCTGTTTTGTTGAAAACGCAAGTGAAAACACCGTCTTCTTTGTGGAGATCCCAATAAAACTCCGCGCACCCGACTGGGTGGCCACAGTCTGCATGCTGAAAAAAAAGATAAAAGGATTGCGCACAATTGTTATGAAATTAGAAAAGTTCGTGTAAATGCCTAAGAATGTATCTTGAAAAAGTGAAGCCAATCAGGGAAGCATAATTGGTGATCCAAAAATTTCGCGACCCGTTCTCGGGGGAGGGGGGCGAGAACGGGTCGCGAAATACGCCACTGCTATGCTACCGCCACACAAAAGGTATCGTCGATTCGTTGGCCGTACGGACTGCTCAACCGCTGCGACCACGCACGGCGCGGTTGAAATGTTGCGAGAGCACGATTTTATCAATGGCGAGTTTGTATTGGAGCAAGCGTTCTACCTCGCGGCGCGTGCTCCGCGGTTATGTCCAGTCCGTACAGTCAGCGAATCGACGATACTTTTGACTACATGTGGTGAGTTAAGCTTACGCTTATAACTTCCTCACTCAACTTAGCAAATGCCCAAAATTACAGAAGTCGATTGATATGTACTAGGTTTGCATTATGCAGTTTAGCAGCGATTTATAGCAAACTTCAATAGAGCACTTTACTGATGTTCAAAATTGTGATAGAGGCTAAAAGTTTAAAGCTCAATTGAAAGTGACAACTACATGTGATTTCTCCGCTTCTCAGGTTTAGAAAGGACGTGCATTTGATTGCATGATAGAGCAAGAGCAAAGATCAAAACTCTTGATTTTTTCTCCAAAGTATCTCGACTTTTTTCGCGCAAGCTCATTTTTGCCTTTTTATTTAAAAAAAATCATGTCAATCGGTATTAAACATGTTGACGACCTTGTGCATACGCACGTATTCACGCACTGACTCCCATTTAGCAATTTCGTACATTCGCGCATATGCACGCTAGTTTTTGGGCGTAAACGAAAAGTTCTAGGTAACTTTTATGCAGTGATACTATTGGTGGCCTGATTGTCTTACAGAAAACAGGGCATCGCGGCAGTTGTTCAGAATTTTTGACCGCAAAATTGGGTAGTATGTTCGTTTTTGATGTAGTAAATACAAGTCAGCTACGTTTCTCCGAGAAGGTGGAAACTCTGTGTAGCGTTTTGAGAGCAAAACAAGGATGAATCAGGCAACAAAACCTTTTATCACAACGCTTTTCTCGAAAAAGGCTTGCTCAGATAGAGCCATTGCCATGGTTTTACTGTGATATACTAGGGTGATTCAAAAGTAACGGGAACATCGCTTTTCTTTTTAATCCTATTCTCAGATTAAGTAGAATGTGTAAGGCAAGTGTTCTTAACGGTGTCCGACACGGATTTTCTTTCTCTTTCAAATGCTATGATTTCCAACCAAATCACTTCGTAATTGCTGAAATATTTGCAGAAATTTTAAACCCAAAGCGTTTTCCTTTCAAAAAATCTATGGTTTTTTCAAACTTGTTAAAAAATTCTAGATTGTGACAATTTGAAGCGGTAAGCGCTTGATTACCTTGCAATATCAAGGTCTAATGATAAACTGTTGTCGAAGCTCTCAAGAAGTTCTCAGTTCGAGAAATTTTGTAGGGTTTAACGCATTTCTGTTTTGAGCCATTTTTTGAAAAGGGCGGGCTTTTGGAAAAATAATTTTGAAAGAGCTCAAAATGCTAGTTTAGAAATACCTAACTAGTGGTTTGCATCAAGCAGGACCTGCTTTGTCTTTATGTTATCAAATTTGCTCGAAAATCTCAAACTGAAAGCTCTGAGGATTAGTTAAACTCAATCGAAGCAAAAATGACGGGTTCAAAATTTGGGAAATTTTTTCGTTGTAGGAAGTCAACTGGGCCATTCGCCTCACCGCTGAAAAGAGAAGGAAAATCTATGTTTTCATACAATTTAGGGTACTTTCCTATCGCTATTCTACATGAGTTGCGGAACGTTCGAAATGGGGAGCCAAAAGTTCTCATTACTTTTGACTCAACCTAATACATGTTTCTCTGGACATAGTTTGCATGTTTTATGAATAAGCATCAAAATGATCCCCACATAATGTTTTCGCGCATACGTATGCACGGGCCAAATGCGCGGAGTTAGTGGGAGTTTCGTCCAAAATGTCGCGGTCGTCAAGTGTTAAAGTACAAGCTTTCCACAACAATTTCCAGCTTTCAGTAGTCAAAGAGCAAGGTGCCTCACATAATCCCATCTTGATCCCCATCTATTCATGGCTGTGTGAACAATGGTTTTCACAGATGTGCCGCTGTGTTGAGGAGCTCTAAAAATCAAATTACCAATGCTGTGTGGAGGAGTGCGAAAAAGGACGCACCTGAACGGGAAACGGAGTACCGCACAGTCTGGACAGAAATCTACGAAGTCTTTTCGCTTTTCACCAGCATATGCAGCCGCGAATTCTAGGTCGCAGTTGTACGCCTTCAAAAATCCTGTGAACTTCATGAGAAAATCTGATCTTATTTTTGTTAGGTTGGTGCAAAAGTAATCGCGTCTTTCCAGCCCTTGTCTCAAGGCAACTTTTTCCATCAGACCTTCTTTTTTGGAAAAGCATGCTATACTATCAAAAAGTGGACAAAGGAGTATCTATCGCATCATTTATACCTTTACACGTATGAGTTACAGTAAATATAAAGGCAATTTGGTAACGGCACTTAAATTTCCATTTTTGCCTTCAGGAATTCTCTCATTCTTATTTTTAATGCTCTCAGATTTTTGTTTAATTTTCTAGGGACATTTGCTAATGTGAGGAATTCTAAGGAATGTGAGGAAAAGTTTGGAATTCTAGACTGTTTAATAACGCAAGTTGGAAATTTGCGAAAAATAATTCAAAAAAATTTTGAAAAATTCAAAAATTGGATTTCATACGTGCGGCATTCATACATAGAAAAAGTACAGCATTCCACTCAATCTGGAAATGAGTAAAGATCTCCGGAAAAACTTATTAAGATTTTTTCTTCAAGTGTAAGAAAACTTATGTTAGAACCTAATAGAACATGTCTACATTATGCGCACTTTATTATCAGGTTGTCCCAAAAGTTCTGTCGTTTCATTTTTAAAAAATCATAACTTTGTGCTGTCTTAATAAAATAATTTTATTATATTTTTATTGTAAGGGGAATCTTTCGCCATCGATTGCTGTTTTGCTGGGCTTCTTCTATACACTGACTGAGATAAAAATATGAAAATAAGACAATATAAGCTCTGGCCATTTTAACTTAGCTCGCCAAAAATCGAAAAATGCAGAAAAATCTGAAATTGTCACTACATAGACTCTTTAACCTACCCTTTGTAACTGTGAAAAGTTTGTCCTGTTTGGACGTCTCCTTAAAAAATTATGATTTTAGAGAAATTCGAGAAAAGTGTCAAATTAAATAAACTTGGCGTTTTCTGTAGTAAACTGGTAATTCGTAACTTCTCACAGAGACGTGCAAACAAGGCGAATCTTCCAGATCTTTCTAATCTTTTTGATGCATCGCTGGGCAATCTTTGATAGCGGCCACTAAGCAATCGACGATGACCGCTATCAAGAATTTCGCCTAGCAAATGCACGGATAAAACAAAAACACAATTTGTGACGAAAATTTTATGAAAAAACGAAATGACTGCAGCGTTAATTCAATGAAATGAATAAATGAGTTCTTGTATTGGACAGCTAGTGAAAAAAAATCAGTAAGGTTTACAAAAAAGAGGAGAATTTGTTTTTTTGTTATCCTCGCCAAAATCAGCTGTTCATCGATCCTCTCCTTTTCGGGCGCGAGTTGTGCAGTTTTGTGCCGATTTTGTCTGCATTTTTAGCCTGACTGATGTGTATCCTAAGTTACTCAGGAGCAACTCCTCTTTTACACACTGTTTGCATCGCTCTAGCATCAGTTCACGTTCAGGTCACTTGAACGTAAACTGATGTGGAAGAGTTGACTGCAGCAGGTGGACAGATGGTCAACTATCAGTTCACTCGCCATTCTTGTAGCATGGGAGGGTGGGCGGTCATCAGTTCACCTGACGTGAGGTGAACTGATGGGATAAGTTCAGTTCACCTGAACTGATCGAGCTTTACTACGGGCCATAGACTACTTATCACATACCGCAACATTAATAATTCTCATGTGATAAAAAGCGCTTACAAGGAAGGGAATTCTATAATCGAATTGGGCAATCACCACAAGCTGCACACCATTATTGAGAGCTTGAGACTCTTTTTCCCAAAATACTTTATCTGTCTGCAGAGCGTTTTCTAAAAAACGAGTTATGAGCATTTTTCGAGACGAAAAATTTGAGCTGATGGCCTGGATGGAACCAATTATTACACCCTCTCCAGACGTCAAATCGAACATAGGAACTACTTATATACTACGCAGAAGTAGTTCATTGTAATAGTCTAACACTTGCCACGGCTTCAACAGAGGTCTAGAGAGACTGGTGCGATTGATTTTATCGCTGTCATTAGTCTAATTTTCTACTTCAAAATGCTCATATCTTCTTTTCCGGAAGCACTCTGCAGATAGGTAAAGCAGAACTGGAATCAACGCTCCAAGCTCTCACTGACAGTATGCAGTTTATGTTGTCGGCCACATCGACTTCGTGGCCCTCCCTTGTTAGTGCTCACATTCTTGGGCTTTCGAGTATGGTTATTACAGTAGAGATGTTGCAAAAAGTTTATATTCTTGCAAAAATGTAGTTGCCCTATGTAAAGAAGAACTTATTTGTGCTATTTCGATTCTGCTGTTTTAAAGAGAAATTATGCGAAATCTGGTCAATCACCATTTCGTTGACTTTTTTGAAGCATAATAGAAGAAAGCTGTGGTATCAGCATTGACTAATTAGTCAGCGATCAAGTCCGCTTGAAGTTTTCAAAACTTGCAGAGGTTGCATATGACGTGGTCAAAGTTTCGTTTTCGATTATCTTGAGTTCGTCATACTATACAGCCTGTCCCAGTCGCATTCAGGCCAGATTTGGGCTGTCGCGAGGTTAGTGCGAGTCACGTCTACACTCGCTTGCCTGTTTTCTCCTCAACATCTTCTCTCCCTCAGACAGCTCACCTATGCAGCACAACCCCTAACGCTGCGAGCCGTAAATTTAGCCAACGGTTCGATCTGATCCTCATTGGGAAAGACTGTAAGTGATTGTGGAAGTGTGGCCCATGATTATTACTAGAATTGAACCAAAAGCTAACGCTGCTCTGTTCATCACTCAAGAGTTCCTATGGGTTCTCCAAAAATTTGTTTAATTTTGTGCAAAACCCACCATAGATCTGCAAAATATTTCCATGGAAATGTTCTGCATATGCAAAATGCATATGCAGACCTCTTATATAACCATCCATGGACGCAATTCAGTATGTTTCTTTCTCGCATTTCGGAAAACTCAAGTGCGTTCGAGCATACGAATGTTTTGAGAAAGTTTATATGCGGCTACCCCGCTGATGGCACTGCACTAACCAAAAGCGCGCTTTAGATTATGAAAACATTAACACTGTAACGGTGGAAAGATCAGTAAACATGTACAAAATTATCATTTCAAACCTCAGCTTTTCCTCGCCAAACTTATAACTGTATGCAACATCTCTTTTCTTCTCAATGCATTACCTTAGTGATATATCGTTACCAACCTTGCATCGTCTATTTTGGCGATTTGAAAAAATCAGAGGTGACTAAACTGATAAAGAATCTCAGAGTAACAGACATGAGTCAATTTGTGTTAGTCACATTGTTTGAGGCTGCATAATTGATGCTTGTCTAAGTGAATAGCATCACGGCTCAGCACAGGTTACGAAGGGAGACACTTGCAAAAGTACTTACAAAAGCAAATCTCCAGGTGATTAAAGTAGGATCACCCGGCACATAGAGGTTATAGAAAACGGGATGCAATCAAAGTAGAGTGATATAACGCTATAGACAGAGGTAGTTTTACCTCAGAAAATTGCTAACTTCTTCTCACCATGACGACAACTCAAACTTGAGGTAAGCCAGTCGTCAATGGTCTGGTGGGCACAAAAATATTTCTCAAAATCGATGGAATTTCACTGCGAAGTCATGCGCAACTTATCGGAAACCTCATCCTTGATCAAAAGGACAACTTTCCAGACTGTTTACCCTTAAGTGGCGCAGTGTTGGGAGCAGGGTCAAGAGCGTTGATGCGATCTAGATCCTCTTCTACGACCCCCCCCCCCCTCCCCTGAAGGTACCTATCATAGTTGCGATAGGGGGAGTGATGGATCTTACCCCCTTCACTTTGAGGCCAAACTCCCGATGACCCCCTTCACCTGGGCTGAGATTGGTATCGTACTCTGAGAATATGATAAAAATCGTTATGAAAAGCAGGCTAAGTACCTCAAACAACAAGTACACTCATAAATTTACTAAAGAAACGGTATTTATGTTTATTTATATTATTTATTTATCCTGTAGCATTTTGGAGAGAAGAGAGTAAGTACACAAAATCGCTTAATTTTTGAAGCACATAAAATCCCTCATATCTCGCGGCACAGAAGACCTAGAAAAAAGTCGACGGTCTACGTCGGTTCTCCATGATCTCAGCTTTCGAATGGTATACAGCATGTTAGGGCTTCTTTGCTTCACGGCTCTAAAAATCATTTTCTCCGGTAACCGATAAAAGTCAATACATTGGTGGAGCCGGATTGGAGCAAGCTAATAGTAAATATCTCCACCCCATTTTTGAAAACTGGTCCGTTTTTTCGCCCAGCAACCTATATACCATTCGAAAGCTCAGGAAAAGGGGATTCGACCTAGACCGTCGACTTCTTTCTAGCCCCCCTCTACCGAGAGATACACCGCATTTTATCTGAAAACATGGTCATTTTCAACAGCAGATTTCTGCCAAATGAAGACTTAATCACTGCTGCTTATCTATCTGTGTTAAAGAGCAAGTCTTCATTAACAAAAGTAGACCGTCGACACTCTCGTAGCGTTCATTTGGAGAGCAGAAAGTGAGGACACAAAATCAGTTAATTTTTGAAGCACATAAAATCCCTCATATCTCGCGGCACAGAAGACCTAGAAAAAAGTCGACGGTCTACGTCGATTCTCCATGATCTCAGCTTTCGAATGGTATACAGCATGTTAGGGCTTCTTTGCTTCCCGGCTCTAAAAATCATTTGCTCCGGTAACCCATAAAAGCCAACACATTGTATAGGTCGTCCCGAAAGTTTTTGAGCACAATTTTCAAAAATTCATAACTTCTGATTTTTCCAACCGATTTGACTGCTTTCACTTTTATGTGAAAGAGTAAGTCATGCTCTTTATAATGACATCTTATCTGCTTAGTAATGGTCATCTCTTGCATAGATAGGAGCTCAAAACTAAATCACTCAAAATTTGAATTTTTGTGTAGGGTCATAAAAAATCAGAAACTTGCAACAAAATCGGAGCAGTCGGTATTTTAGGTTCTTTCACCAACTCTTTCTAACAGTGCAAAGTTTGCTCCG